ATATGAAATGTCGACATGATCGTGCCAGAACGACCGAAATGGTCCATTCGTTCCATTGCGGATAAAAGTAAACGTTAACCATATCAAGGATTTCTCGAATTGACACGATCCAGATTCCCTATTGTTCTCGTCGAATAAATTCAGCGAGCACCGATAGAAATTCCAGACGAAGAAGAAGAGCGAGCAAAAGTCTCGAGGTAGAGGGAGGAAGGTAACGCCGAGCATCGAGCACCGAGCGCCAAGCGCCGAGCGCCGAACGCCGAGCGCCGAGCGTCGAAGACCTTCGTATTGTATGGAGATAAGGGAAAACAAAAAAAGGGGCAAGAATCCAGACGGCGAGGAAGAGGAAAGGAGGAACACTGGGAATAATAACGAGAGATTATGATTCCTTTGCTGCAACCGTGGATCAAAAGAGACGCGAGCTTCTTTACTTGTTTGCTCGTCCAATTAACGGAACGCTCGAGAAAAGCGCCCATAGAAATCATTGGGCGCGATCAAGAGTACAGGAAACGAGGTCTATAGGCGATGCCATTCGTACGTAACAATGCTTTGTATGCCGTTCGAGGCAATAATCGATCGTTGAATAACTGTTGTTGTAATCAACGATAATGTTCGCGTTACAAGTACCGAGTGGAAAAGATTAAAGGCGCGCAGGAATAATAACCGCCTTTCGGATCCAATTGATCGATTTGGTTCTCGAGTCAGACATCGCTCAGACGTCGAGGATGCCATTTAAACGCTATAAATCTAACGACCGTGAAAGTTATTATCGCGACGATATAAAATTATTTTGAAATGTTATTCAATCGTCCTTCGGTTATACTTGTCAAATTTACTGGCTTGCATAAGTCGATTACACTTATCACGCATAGAGAGGGTGCATAAAATCGTTTCCGCGGTGATACAGCATTTTACTCGATAATGAAATGATTCAATAAAAAACATAATAGTCTTGTTCTTCGACTCGAAAGTTTATCATATACCGGGTATCCGGCAAAGGTTTGTTTTTTGTAGGTATTTAAGCTGCGAATAAAGAGTTTGATCAGCAGAAATGGGAATAGGACCCGTGACTTTCGACTCGTTTTTAAGGAAATTGTCGTAAGGGATTCCTCGAGATCGGCGCGGCGCGGACGGTCCCGATCCAATGACCGAGGGTCTGATTGAATTTTCGCGGAAATTAACAAGAGCGAGCTCGAAGAAGGTTGAATAACGTGAGGAACCGCGAGAAGCTGAGCCGTTCGAAGACAGGTATACGCATACCTACACAGAGAAACTTGCTCGAAGGACGCGGAGTGAATAATAATGAGAGACACCGGCCCGCGAGAACACCACCTCGGGCGTCTTTTCGTAAAAGGGCCGTTAAGGTGCTACTTTAACGATCTCTCAGGCCCTCGTCGCGTCGGGGTGGGGCCAAAGGCCACGTGGAATGCAGACACGTAATGCAAGCAGAATGCGCTCACGGTCCGCCGGCACGCCGCGCCGCGCCGGCCCGGGGAATTATTACTGGATTCGAGAGGACCCACGGGACCCCCTGGGCGTGGGTTTCGAACAGGTACACGTACATAAGCACAGCCCACCTGAGTATCCGTAGCGACCGCGACCGCGACCGCTCGTTTTCTGCAACCTGCATGCCAACCAAAATCTCAAACTCTGCTCGCCTCGTGTATTACCGATCATTTTCAACCATTACGGAAGCTCTCTTCTTCGATCTTCAAAATTTATATCATCCCAATTTTGTTTGTTTCACAGATGAAAAACTGAGTATGTGTCGTGCAACGCAAAGATAAATTAATAATTTCGAGATGTGCAGCAGGAATTCCGTTCCCCCGGAATGCTTTTGGAATACCACGCGTTCCGTGTGCGCCGCGCCGCGCCGGCGCGGGCGTAACGATTGCAAATGGAATCGATATGAATCGATCTTTTGGCTTCCCATCGAGGACAAAGGCGAGCCCGAATGATTCAGTGGCCATGTGCGTGTATACGTGTGCGAACAGACCAAGAAAAAGAATAAAAGTGGTACTTTTTGTACGGTCCGGATCGACGTGAAATCAGGAGGCTGCGAGCCTATACATACCTGGAGAGTCATCTCGACGATCATGCAAATTTATACACTCGCAGACAAAAGTTAAGAAATATGTATGCAATGTCCGCAACCTGGCTTGTGGATTACGGTTTGGTCTGGCCGAATAATATGCACGAATCGTTACGATATTTAGGAAGCAATTTCGACTTGTGCCCCGAATTTGTTCGTTCGGTCGCAGCTTGCCGCGCCGCGGCCGTAGAGCACTAGAGCAGGTAAGATAGAACCGAACCACTCGATTCGAACCACTTGCGAATCGATCCGATATCGCACCCACGGGACACTCGGACATATAGAGAAGGTCCTTTCCTTTCGAACGAGAGTTGGCCCTGTCGTCTTTTCTACGTTCACGTTCTGTGAGAAAGTTTTAATTGCGTTCCACGTGCTGGCACCTACGTCGACGCGAACCGAGACCAAAGAAAAGACTGAGAAAGAGTAGGTGGGCCCACCAGAAGAGACCGAATAGCCGAAGAAACGTCAACGAGAAGCAGAGATATTACAACCGAGGGAAATCGAAAGAAAGACTCGAGGGAGTGTTTTACTCCGGCACTTTGAAAAAATCGATTTTAGGCCTTTATCTTGCAGTCTGAGCCCTTGAAAAGAAAACTCTCAAGGCAGCCGCCAAGGTACAGAGGAAAGAAGGGAGAGCAAGAGAAAAGAAACACAAGTTTATGGTCACGAGAGCGCGCGATGAGTTTCTAATCGTTGGGTACCGATGAAAACGCTAATATGCCGTTAGTCCCGCTCGACGGAGCGTGTAAGTCGCTCAGGTTGCACTATTCCCTTGCTCGACCTGGATAACGCTATTCTATCGCTCGCTTCTGCAAAGTAAATCAGCTCTCGCGCCAATGGCATTCATCGTTCGGTTTACGACGGTTGTCGAATTATATCGTAGACGAAAGTAGATATCGATATTTTCACGCCAACAATTATCTTTTCTAATAAAATAATACGAGTAAAGAAATTAGGGGCGCACGCCTCTTCTGCTTCTGCTTCTGCTTTGGCATAACCCTAGTCACGCATCGCACATTTTTTACGATATCGCGCATACTTATTATATATACATTATATTATGTACTCTAGCCGTCGTCTTTTAAATCGTTCCTTCTTGCCATCTTCTCGATACGAGTCGTTCAAAGTGCATTGTTACGACGCCCTTGGTGTCACGCGCCTATCGCGCGCACAATATACGAAACGATACTACGGCAACCGGAGTTGGATGATCGCGCGCGACGAAATTTATAACGTCTATTCATTCCGCTTCTTCTGGCCGATGCTTCGTCCCCGTTTGCAATATTTTTCATCATTCGGACTTGCATGCATTTTTCATTTCGACGCTTACACGTTCATCATTCGACAGAAAGAATCGCGGCCTTGGAACGAAGCTGCTGATCGACGCATCCAACAACCGATACGCGCTCTCTCGCGAAAACAGATACTATTTTTACTAACGAATATTCGATAGTATTTAGATTTACGATAGAACATCTTTCGTCAACCAAGACGTTAGAGGGGACTACGCTCCTGTAGAGATCGCTAAATCTTGAGAAAATATAGCGTAGCGTATAAACTGTTTCAACAGCGTATCAAACGCAAACCCGACGTTGCATGTCGCACGTTACACACTCGTTCGATACCTCTTAAAAATGAACATTTTCATCTACCTGTTCTCGCTTATGCGACATTACGTCATATATGGAACATTCTAATCACTTTTTCTTTGGATTTCTTGTACGAGATGTCAACGAGCCTGCAATATACATATATGTATGTATATGCTGGAGTATACGACACGTTAATTTAAATATCGTTTGACTCGGATCTGTTTAAAAGACGCGATAAGGAATAATTGACCCAATTGATACGTATAGACTTCTCTCGGTGAATATCTAAAATAGAAACTGGTACGGAAATGAAATGTCTGTAATTTCAACTGTCAAAGATAAATACGAGAAACCCGGCGATCTTTGACCGACAAATGCAAATAGCAAAACCATTGGTAGTCAACCTAAATACAAACTGAAAATCTCTTCTCGCAATATGAATAAACTATTTTATTTGTATAATTACCAGTCACGATATAAAATAAAATAGACCATTTACCGTTTATTACCCCAAGTAAGATATCAGAGCCAACACTGGCCGACGCGACGGTTATGTTCGTTCGAAACGCATCTTTTGAAAACTTTGGACCGCTCTGGGAAAGTTCACGCCTATATCGTGCACGACCCTAAATTCAAGATTACGCGAAGGTGCAGTTTCCGCAAACTTCTCGCGATCATTTATATTAACAGCCTCTAATCCGCGAGGGATTTGATATATGGCGGCCGCAAATTCCCTCTGCCCGCTTCGCTCCTAAATAAAAAGCAAATTTATGGAAATACGTACATAGAATGCGCACCGGAGCGGCGCATCATGTTCGTTCCGACGAGTTCCAAGCGTTCCTCGCTGCCGGCGGCGCTAATGTCGATAACAATGAAAAGAAAAATATACCGTGGACAAGTCCGCAGGTAGACGTCGCGATGCGAATCGAGACTGACAAAAGGATCAAAAGGATCGAAAGAATTCTTGGACGGTGGTCGAGAAATCGCGTGGAACGATCGCCATAAGCGAAGCCGTTTATTTTACCAAGGAACGCCGAAAACTTTTTAGACATATCTCCGTTTCTCTAGATACCTGGTGAATTCAACTACTATACGTATTACAAGCGCATAAAACGTGAATGATGTAGATTTTCGTACCGAAAAATGCTGTTACAGACGAATAATGCAGGTACTTTCGAACGACATAGGCATAGCCATATGTTTAGTGGAAAGTCGTGTACGTAAAAGCGAGGTAACCTACGAGGCAGATAGACGATTCATATCGCGTAGACGATAGATATTACGAGTGCGTTGAAATCCTTTTGGCGGGTACTGACCTTCTCCTCGAGCGCGGGCCCGTTCTCCATTGCGTGCATAATAGCATCGGAAATGCGGGTGTCCAATTGTCTGACAGCCTTCTCGGCATTCAGGCCCAACGGATCGTTACGACCGTCGACCGCCACAACAAGCCTCTCGACCGTTTCCACGTAACCGGACCACGCGAGGTCCAGTTCGGATGCTGGTTCCGTCAAGCAGCCTCTGCAATCAAATTATTTTTAACTTGAACCGCGTCTCGTTCCATTCATCTCGAACTATTTATTTTCTTCGATGCTTATCTTTAGCGATATAATTCGCGTAATATAATTTTTGTTTAGCCAGTGTATACCAGCAACCGTAAAGAAGCCAAGTTGGATATCGAAATAGTGCGATCAATCGCGTCAAAGGCCTTACCGAGTCGATAGAAATAGCGTCGAGCTGGAAACGGTCGTCGACCGTGGTTGATACATACACGTACATATAAAACACTGCGAGTTTCGTAGCAACCAATTACCCGGATATAAATCCGTGGTGTTGGTTGTAATAGATTGGAGTTGAGAGTAGCAAAGAGGAAAGTTTGCGTTACGAGAATTGGATATGGTCGTGCTCACCTCATGACGTTAGTGCAGAATCCGCTGCAGGGTCTGACAGCGGGACCGATGCCCTTGCACCGCGGACAATAGGTCATCCTGAGGAGAGCACCGTAGCAGGCTTCCTGCTGAGGACTGGTACCGGAAAACAGGACGCTGTCGGTTCGATCGAGGACCGTTTTGCCAAGAGTCAATGCCTGCACGAGCACTCGCGTCGCCTCTAGGCTTTTGCTGACCGACTTTGAGATCTGCTTCGGTATGTCTCCGAACGGTTGAATTTCGTCCATCGTCTCGTACAAGCAGGTCTTAAATTTATCCGTGAAATCTTGCTCGTATTGGTGTGGGTTGACAGCGTTGTGGTACGCGATGGGGAACAGTTTCGTGAAGAACTCGATGAAGCGTTCTTGAAGCATGTCGCGGCTAAGAGGCTGCTGTAGCGTGTCCGGTGTATTGCTCGGTGACACGTAATCGACCATCGCCTGGTACAATGCTTTTATCGAAGGTTTGCTCAAAACCGCCATCGCCCGGTACACTTGATCGAACAGGGTTAACGTTTTGTTCTCCGACTGCCTCGCGAGCATCGTCACGGTCTCTGTAAACAAAAAATATCGTCGTTGCGATTAACCCCGAAAACTTTAATACCTAACACGTTGAAGTAAAAAGTGTATAAAATTACAAATCCATCATCGATCGGTTACATACATTTTACGATAATCGAGACATGGTACAGATTATAGGTATATGTATCGGGGATAGAGGGGAAAGGATCAAACGTGATTCAACGGGATCGCAGCAAAGAAATTCGATAAAATACTATCCAAACATCGAACGACCAAAAGTTCGAAAGCTACAGCGCGGCGAATACCTAGGAATTCCTCGTTGGTTAGTTCTCACAGTGAAAACAAATACCACCGTAATACACCAGCCATCCAAGACTAATGAACTTGGCTCGCACGGTGTAAACAGAGAGGACCATCTCGCGGACCTTCGAACGCTCAGTTAAAACAAATTGCCGACACACGAAGGGGCCAAATAACATTCTCTTCGGCTTCTTCTTCCTTGAGAAATACCATAGACGACAGAGGAAATCGACGGCAAAGAGAAAGATAATGAAAGAAGAGGAAGAGAACGCGGGAGAAAAATCAGAAGCGGACAGGTAAAGAACGAAAGGAACAGCAAGAGAAACGAACGAACGGGTCCAACGAGCAAAAGAAATCGCAGAAAAATCGGAAAAAGAAAGGAGCAGCAGCGTCTCGGTAGGTACCAAGCCGATCGCGATCCGTCGATCAACCCGTTACCGGGTACCGGCGTCATCTTCCTCTCTTTCTTCTCAAACTCTTCTTTTACCTATGTAGGTAGGTACCATTTCAGCGCTTTGCCTTCCTTCTCGCTCTCGATGTTTCTTATCCCACGGCGCACAGAGGAAAGAGAGCTTCGGCATTCCTCTGGCCGGTCATTTTATTTTAGCGCCACCGTGTGGGAGAGGACCTTTTTATCTCTCTCCCCCTTTCTCTCGGGCCACGCGGAATCCTCCTCTCGGTCTCTCCGAATGGTTTGGTGTTATTCGGATTCAGCGTCCACGCCAGGCCTTTCTTTCTCCTAGCTTCGAAGGCTTGTTTGTGCGCGGGGCCGATGGACGACGACGATGGTGTGCTTGCACGATTCCCAATGGTGGCCATGTTGCGGAGGACGCGACGAGACGGAGGGAGTGCCAAAGACACGTGGGAACTGTACCGTGCTGTTTCGTCCGTGGACCGGACTCGGAACAAGCTAAATTTCAACCAATTTTGCTTTCGATTCGAATTCGAGACCACCATTGGATATGAAAGCCCTTTTGGTATTCCAAGACCGCGCTTTCCTACCACCGACTTCTCCTAAACTCACAGGGTTCGGCTTCAAAAAACTATAAACAGACATACTTATTACATGTCGTATACAACGTTTTGCGATAGACACCGCAAGGTCAACATAATCGTCGCTACGAAAATAAAACAGCCGTTCTTTCTCCGAGTTTTAAGTATGAAATTGAATTAGAGCTTTGATCCATAAAAGAAATTTATGGGCGGAAAGTACGAGCGGTAAAAATGCGAAAAACGGAGCGTACTCGTACTTTTGTTTGGCACTGTATTACGAACTCGTACGTTCTCGTAATGTCGTTACTCTCCCATTACGAGCATATGTATATGTATACGCGTATATATTAATGTTACAATTAGAGTCGATTTACGTGTAATGTGTATCCGCGCATTGTGCCCGTTCTACATTTCTCGTTCGAGAAAGTACAACGCGGCAAACAAGAATTCGTTTAACTGACGATGCGAATGGGCGTACAATTCATTCGACGATGTATTTCATTCGTTTCCCTCCAATAGCTATTCTCGGCAAATTTGTTCAACTTTACAAGGTATAATAGTATTTGTAACGATTAATACGGAAAGATCAGCGTTAACTTAAAACCGAAAGGTCGAGAGACTATCGTGTGTTTTCGAACGGCATATACATGTATACCTGTACTGGGAGGGAAAATAGATGAAGATACGGCAGGTGTGTCATTCAAGCGTGCAAACGTAGACGGAACCTTCAGATTTTGTCGTGTGCACGGAGCGTTCGCGCTGCGACCTGCGACGCCGACACTGGTGCAGTGGTTGAGTTTAATTACGTACGCATACTCAAAATGGGAAAAGAAAGAAGAGCCGCTTCGAGAGCTCGACGAAGAGCTCTTATCCGTTTCGAGTGGTCCCAAAGAGCGACGAACACGTCCACTCGTCGACAAGAGAATAATTATTACTGTAATAATCTGCGCGGTCTCTTAACACCAGACCCGATCAGGGTTAATATTGGGCTAATTAATAATCTAATTTTCTGCGCCATTACGCTCGCTCGCTCGCCAGCGCACTCGACGAGATTAAAATTGATACGATTATACGCGAATTGCTTAGCGAATATCCATTTGCTCCCTCGCGAACCGTTCAAGATTCCTTCCATTTTTAACCCTTTCAACTCCGACACTTTTTCCTATACGCATACCGACTTTGCGATACTCTTCAACAACAGAATGGAACAGGACGGAGTTTAGCACTTTGCGATGCTTTGTTATGGATTTCGATCGACTCGAAAAATGCTGATAAACATTAATCGAATCGTTTTGCGCTTGTCGTGGTCACCGATAAGTAAACTTATCAGGTGTTTACAGACTTTTCCCTTTATCCAAACAAAAATATGTTTTTGGTGACTACAAATTACTTATACCACACTCGTGATATAGGTATACGTAGAATATCAAAAGTTTCGATTTGCAACGAGACGTTTTCCGGAAACGGAAAGCGGGTTTCGGACCGCCAACTTGTACGAGACTACGAGACTATGTTATCGTTTATCTAAATATAGATAAGGCCTATTCTCTGGGGAGTGTAAAGTCGTGCAGCGCGAAATTCGCGGAAGAACGCGACGTAATGAGACTAGGTGCATGTACGAAGGCAGTGTAGCTGACTCCGGTTGGTAAGCGTGCCTATATATTCGCCAGCGAGACTAACTTTATCGGTCGACCAACTCCTCCGTTCTTTGCCGATGCAAATCCGAAAATCCGAAAATCCGGAAATCCTACGTTAGTATTATATTTCACCTCCCTACCGATTCCTGGACGAGCAGCTCGGCGAATGCAAACGGTACAAATGCGGATTTGCGTTTAACGGCATTATCATATGTTCAAATAAATAAAGTCGAGAAAAGTCAACTTTGGTTCATTTTACTGTCATTTTATCGTTATCCGGTTTAGACAAAATTCTCTTAATTCGAATCAGAAATAAATTACAAGACTAATTAAGAGATGTTTCTACGAAAGGAACAAAACTTGCGTTCCATTCGTTCCATCTCCATAATACGTGAAATAACGACGTAAAAAGATTACTTTCGTTCAACTACTCATTAGCGAAAACTCATTAATTGTACGGAAAAAAAGAGAAGATGGGGCTCGGTTCAGATAAACGAGACTGGGTCTGCCTCATTGTGTAACGCGAAACAAAAGTTCTATTCCCTTCGTTAGGCATTTTTCGAAAGATGCGCGACCCATACCAAATAAACGTAAAGAAGAAATAAGAGAAAGATGTAGAATAAGCTACCGACGCAACGACGACATGGGTCATCTCGCTTATCACGGGCTTAACTTTTAACTAGCCGTTTAGCTCCGTTACACACGTAAGCGAAGGCACAGGTACCACGCACACGATCGGGTTCACGCTACATTTTACAATACTATGATCGTACGTGTTACCTGATCACCCAACCGCTTTACCACCCACGTAAACTGCCTACAACCTTCTAGAATTGTACCGGTATCCAGGATTACCCTTGCCAAACAGGGAATCGAAAGGGAACTAGAGTCCTCTGAGAACGTTTTCAAGCTTATGGAATACCATTGCGTTCCTCGAGACTCGCCAAACATCCATAGTTCAATTTTTTTCCAGAAAATCCATCTTCTTACAACGGCTGAATATACAGAACTCAATCGCGTGGGCTTGCTCGACTAAACGAACCGTCCCTCGAAGATCAACAAATTTTTACATGTTCAGAGATGCTTTGATACAAATAAAAGTTAGTCGCTGTTACTTCTCGAGATTCGATAAGGTTAAGCAACATCCGGAAACGCAAATAGTTTCGGCATCTTTTATTAACGGCAACGAAACTACTCGTCTCAAACAAGCACGTCGCGTCGATGAAATAAAATTTAATCATTGTTTCCTTCGAAGCGACTCGGACTTTCTGCTCGTTACATTAGTTACGCAAATGTTTGATTATCGCACGGTCAATAACGCCGATATTGGTTCACCATTCTGCGCGTACAAATGTGCGCGGATTAATTACAGCTTTTAGGAAGGATTTTCGAACGTAAATGCATCGCTGCTCGAGCTCGCGCGTTACAGGTTATTCCAAAATTCAACAGGGAATTCTAGCCAACTAACAGAATTTTCGAAAAATAAATTGAAAAGATGACCTTGCTTCTCGACACGACACTCTGTTTATCCCCTTTCAAAGTTATGCCGCGTAAATAATGCAAGCTTATTATTGGTCGATACTCTATCTATTGACCTCTGTTACAGATAAACGTAAATTTCGTGGCAAAATCGACTGTGTGAAAGAATTGTATGTACGAGATGGAAAGCAACTGGTATTATATTGATTAATCGAACAGATTATAAATATATTTTTCATTGAACCTTCGAGGGCCGCGAATCGTTTCGATAGATACGTTTTTCCAGTCGAGGACAACAGAGTCGCGAGAATTCTCATTAGAGATGAGAACGAACCATTGTCCGCTTCTAAACCTGACTCGTATGAGATAGGCAGAATAGGCACTGCTGCGACCGCTATGCGCTGTGCGCTGGGACAAAAAGAGAGAAGCCGGAAAAGAAGGCAGAAGCCTCGATTCTTTTTTCCATCCCCTTCCGTCACGGCAATTAATGGCCCACCAACGTTAATTGTCACCTCCGCCTCCGGTTTAATGGCATGAGTTACGAGCACGGCATTTTGCACATTTTCTCCGTTCCCATCGCGACGTTCTCTCGTCGTCTTTTCTTTCGCGAGATTACTCACCGCGTCAGCGAGACTCGATACTCGCGACTTCCACTCGTCCAGCTACGACCACGTTTCACCTCTTTCTTTTTTCTCTCTCTCTCTTTCTCTCTCTCTCTCTCTCTCTCTCTCTCTCTCTCTCTCTCTCTCGATGAGATTAAAAATGACTTGTGGATTTCGCGACAGCGCAATGCTTCGAATTCTCGAGGAATAAATATTTCAAAATGCATCGTACAAATTTATAAAAGACATTTCAAATATTTTCATTTGTATACGAGTGGACAAGTCCTACATTATTTCTGCGCAATGACGCACATCTACCTTCGTTAGATAATCTATTAAATAATCGTTCCACGATTTCTTTCAAATGCGATGCGTGTGTGTCATGAATGTAAGAATCACGAAACAGCTTAAGAAATGTTCTCATCGACGAGAGACAAACTCGACGATTCATAGTCATTCAAGGTCGAGTAGGATACTTTTATGGTTTCATATTTCAAAAAATATTATTTTCGCGATTGGTTACGCATACACCTTGATGGAAGTAGAAAAAAAAAATATAGGTGCCTTTTCAGAAAGCGTACGTCAAACGTTACGAAATATTATTATGAAGCCTGCGAGCCCTGATTAAGAATTCGAGTAACGGCTGAATTAAATCATCATGCGGAGCATGCATTCCTATCGGCGTGATACGCATCGAGTTATACGCGTGCATCGATGTGCACCGAGCTCTATGCACATCGAGTATGCCAGCGATACTTTTGCCCGTATTTTCACGATTAAAAAAAAAAAAAAAAAACCCCCACTGGTAATAATATAATAACTCGAGTTGTGTTGTCATAAAAATGTAGATTAACGTTTCGCGAAAGTACACAGCCTATATTATACTAGAAAGTATCTGTTTGCTGACAAATTTTCCGTTGAACGTATATGCGTGCACGGGCATTGATCGAAAAATACGGTGTCGCGACACTATAAATATCTATAAACTTGCATTAGGTATGCAACGTATTCTGCACGCGTTCACTACAATGTAGACACGATCTCGTACTTCTACCATGGCGAAATCGTTTCAAGTTCCGAATCCAAAGTTTGGCTATTTTTCTAGTTCGTTGTATAAACAACCGGATTACGTAGCTCGGTAAATGGAAAATGTACGGCCGGAACGACCGCAAAAACATGCCTCGAACCACGAGACGGTCAAGACGAAAAAAATGAGAGCAAGCGCGTGGAAAAGCATACGATGTCACGACATGACACAGGACGTTCAAGATTCCTTGCACGAATGTGTCGTGTCGTGTCGTATCGTGTTGTGTCGCGTAGGCGGTTCGTTCCGGATTCTTCGTCCACCTCTTCTTCTGCAATCCGTTGTTTAGTCAGTCTCTTTCGTCGGGCGCCTCCTCTTTCTCGTTGCAGGCGTAGTAGGTACATGCTTTTGTGAAATCGTCACTTCGCCGACCCTGAGACGTCTCGAGAGTGGACGACTACATTGACTTTTCAACTTTTCAGACTACGCGCATCGCTATCGTACGCCACGATTTCTAGTTTACCACGACCTTCTATTCGGAATCTAAAAATATTTCTCATTTTTCTCTCTTCGATCGATCAACATAAAAAAAATTAAACAATTTTTGTCCGAGACAGCCTACATTTGATAATATTTCGAGTCGAAATACAATAAATCGTAAAAGGATTCGGTCCGTAACTACTAAAACGTCTGACCAAGTACGGTCGATAACCCCTGCCACGATTGATTTTCTTTTCCTCTTACGATAGATTTAGATTTAGATTTAGAATTATTCGATATAATTTCAGATATTCGGAAGTGTGATTTACGTCCATAGCCTCGGGAACGTATGCAGTTGCGAGCGCGTAACACAATTTTTGGAGATGTATTTTCATTTTCCTTCTTTCGGGAAAAATCTACTTCGAAAGTTCACCCGAGTCGTGTGACATTTCGAAATTCGTTGTCTCACTGTACTATATAAAAGGTACTTTCGTACCTACCGATTTCTATTAGCGAATCGATCAAAGTATTCGGTAATTACTCCTATTTCCGATTATACTAAGTGATAACAAGAAAACGATAAACAAACCCCGGAGACAAGCAAACTGATGGCATTGCGTAACGGCCAGAGAAATTTCGTTGGTCGTTCTGTCACGAGTTTAAAATAAATTACCGCGATGCAGGCCGATGACCTGGCCCGCCCAGCACGTGCAAAAATCTTTTTCTCCCTCTAGCAGCTTGCCACACGCGGAGCCAAAAGCATAGGAAGACAACGATTCTCTCGAAAAGGTTCGCAGCCGAAATAACGAGATTATAACATCTCGAAGAATGTTTTAAGCTTGCGTTTATTTCTTCCCCCGTGTTCAAGTATTATTTCGAGCCATGTCTCGTCCGATATATCAGCTAGGAAATCGTAATCTGTTCCGTTAAATAAATTTCAAGAGAAACGTACGCTACTTCGAAATGCCTCGATCCTAAATACGCATTAAAATGTATCGCGACGATATCGCTACAACCCAACAGGGGATTTACGTACGTATACATATATCTTGAAATGAAAACGTTAATGCAATTTGATCCCGAGATAATTTTCCTTGCGGCAAGACACCATTGTTCAATGTTGTTTGCGTAAAACGTGTCGAGATTCGCGAATACACCATCAACAATAATAGTAACGCTGTCCCGCTGGGTGAGACAGCGAGTGCACTTAGAAGCGCAGCGGTTGTACTTGTTGATGTTTTAACAACTTCACGTGCGAAAATGGAATGCGAAGAGCAACACTTTTAACCCTACCGATACCATCGTCGCGACGTTTCGCGACGATTCCGCGATTCGACAAACTAATTGCGCGTATAATCTTGTCGTCTTCGTAAAACGATCAAATCTATGGGAATTAATTCCAAGTAAACGAATGCAAGCCTCTGGTATAGCCAACCATTCGCGTTCTGGCTCGGATACCACAAGACGAAACAACCTTCTCGCAATAATTGCCGCTAGCAAATTTTGTGGCTGAATGAACCGACCAGTTTTGAATTCGTGGCCCGGAGGTTTCGTGCAAGCTGCACTTTCGAGAGAGCATCGAACAGCATTACAAATTGCAATGCACGCACAGCCTTATACGGATACGAGAAAGCGAGCTCTGGCTTCTCTCCCTTCCTCCTCAGCCGTTAACCCGACCGATCCGGACCGTGGAACCCGGTCCTGGACATCAAACAGGACCAGATATGCCGTGTTGCAGCGCCGAACTGGTATACGTGCGGCTCTGCACAGCTCTCTCCGAACCAGGTGCAATCGACAGGTCGCTACCGATGCCGTTGCAACCGCGGGATGTATTCATTTATCGATAATCGTGCAATCGAAAATAAATACGTTACGTACAAATTCTGTCGAAATCAATCAAAATCACCTTTAGAAATCTCTACCTTTTATTCGCTTGTACACATCTCCAGTTACTCGAGCAGAGACCTGCGCCATTTTTATATCATATCAAGAAACGAATCGAGCGAAAGGGACCGAACAAACAGCTGGAGAGACAAAGGGACGAAAAGAAGGAAATGAGGAGGTTAGCAAAGGAAAAAATGATAAAAACGGAAGTAAAAAGTTGGAAAGCTGCAACGCAAGCTGAAACGTGTCTGGAAAGAAGGGGGAGGAAAAGAGGAAAAGCAGAAAACCTAGGGCAGGCTAAGAAATAGGGAGAAAAGGGTACAAGAGAACCACCTTCGCCGAGGCCGACGCCGACGTTACGTTCGGGGAGCGTTGGTATCGAGGGATGGATTCGTATTTAGCTATAGCCCCCTACGTTACCCGCCAACAACTTTCCGCAGCTTTCCGCAGCTTCCGATTTACCCGAAATCGTGCAGCATTCATTTCGGTGCGACGAAAAGAGTTAAGATACGAGAACTAGAGAAAAGTGCATAGATAGGAAAAGGAAAGGAAGAAAGATCAAAGAGAAGAGGCATGTTCCAGTTGGCACGTAAAGATGGTAACATCGACTAGATGTTACCAATTTCAGAAACTGTTTCGCTCAATCCCATTTGCGGAGCTCTCGGCGAGGCTGTAAAATGCCTGATTCGAACGATCAATCGTTACAACTCTCTATTTTCTTATTCTAACCTCGTCTCTCCGAACGAAAGGGATTAGCCAAATAAGCCTGGTTATCGTAATCTCAACGATTTAAGAAAATTAGTATTCATACGTAAAACGAAATTAATTATAATTAATTATCTAAATATCTTATTTTTTACTCGCTCGATAGACGGCATGGTTACGTCCTCCCCTTACAACGATAAGATAAAACAAGCTTACCCCTCAATGCATCCGCTGTTGTTGCCAGAAGACCTTGCAGACTTCTACTATGATGATGGATCAAATCGTGAAAATCCGCCCTGGCTTGATGTCTTAACTGTTCTTCGGTTTCTCGGTTGCAGCACAAGCCGTTGCAAGTTGCTGAAATAAAAGTAGCATATTAAATATGTATTTAAAACCAAACAGTCAACTCCTTGGATGCGTCTCTTTTCATTTATTTTTAATCTTCGGCAACGGCAAATCGACATCGCGAGGATCGTGTAAAACGATTTCAAAAACCGCCGAACCATATTTTCTACGGGCCAATTTACCATGACATAAAAATGTATCGCATCGTCTCATCGTCTAGCACAATTACAGCATGACGCCGCCGCCGACGGCGATTGCTCGATAAAATACGATAGACTCGCATCTGTGTCGCAGAGGCCACGGATGGACAAACAGAACGAGGCTAACGGGATCCTCGAGAGGTCCTGGCTCGTTTCAATAGATCCTTTTGGCCTCATTCTACTTTTCATCCACCTCATCCTATTCACCAACGATCCTATCTCTTTGCCGCAATCTCGACTTCCGTTAAGTTAGCATCACAAAATCAGCTAACTCGAATCGAACCTAATATTATTAATTAATCGCGATTTTTCGAAATATAAACTGCACTCTCATTTTCAATGGACCTAAACGATGATTGATCAAATCGCCGCGGCGTAGGATAGTAATGATTTCACCGCTAGAGACACCGTCCCGGTCTCCTTCCCTTTATTCCCCTCTATTCGGTCCTTTTGTATCGGTCTTGAAGGAATGTCTTGACCGATCTAGGTAGCGCCACACGAATAACTCACCTACCTACCTACCTACCTACCTACCTACCTACCTACTTCAAACCATCTCGCTATTTTTCGCTCCGATTTTTCATGATTCATCGTTGCCGATCCATTCTTCGATCTTTCCCAAATGGATACTTTTCGAACAGCCGGTATTCCCACCCCGAACTAACTTCTTGAAACAATATGCGAACGAGTAAGCGACACGAGAAATTGCATTCTGTCACGAGAATACAAATTCATCAGCGATAACAAATTTTCGCAATGATTTCGATAACGCTGTCGAAATATTCTATCTTCGCTATTCGAATCACTCGAAATGGCGGAAGCACCACGAATGAAACGGGAAAAAATAGTCAAGAAAAAGAACAAAAAGGACCAACAACGAGAATCCCTCGAACGGTTTACGATGCGTCAAGGTATGGTGCGTTCCATCGCGGGACTTTGGAACGGCTTCGTTCTCACGGTACCAAACTTTTCGTCTATTTCCTCTTTTTATGGCATGTATCCAACCATAAAGGGAATGAAATTTTGTTGAACGCGTAAGCGAAGAAAATAAACCGTTCGAGAGCGATTTCTGTATACATATACGTCAGACGACGTACCGTTATCCTTTTCGACAAACTAACAATAATAAAAAGACAACTATTTCTGTTGGACAGCGCGACACCGCGCCGACGCGACGTCGTTAAGTTTACGGGGCAAAAAGAAAGCGACGAAATCGCTTGGTCGGTTAAAATTAAGAACGTTAACATCGTTATACTTCGATCCCTCTCGATTTTCGCCGTTAGGTGTGATGCACGGCACTTGACGCGCGGAAGTGCATAAAACCGGAAGCTACATCAACGAGCCTTCGCCCTCGATTCGACGAGTGGTTACAGTCGTGCGAAGTGGGTTAGAATACGATCGTTCCAAGAGAAAAAGAGAGTGCGAGCGAGAGACAGAGTTACCATTCGTTCATTCAGCCTCTCGTGACCAGTAATTGCTTAGCAGAAAATCGGCACGCGATCGGTACCACGCAATGGTAATACCTTTTATGACTCGATTTCGCAGCCTTTAGGACGATAAAACCTGTTCGCGCTACGCAAACTTTCTCCGTATAGAAATCGCCCAATTCCAATCGGCTATTCTATGCCGAGAACAATTAATGCTCAGCTTCCAACCAGCTTGAGATAACTCGCGGGAATCCGATCGAATAACGAGATTCTTAATCTTCTATGACTCGCGCAATAACAACGCTTCACTTTCGATAATTATCAAGTTAATCTGTATTAGCAATGTCGAAGAATATTTGGCCAATGGTACCAGCTCATCTCCGTTATAAGTACAACATGTACAACATGTCTACGTTATAAGACGGATTTGATCGTTCTCACGACCATTGAGACGGGTTTTTACAACGAGTGCTCGAGCACCATTTGATGTAATAAAATCAAGTACCGTTTACTCTAACAACTCTACAAGATTACTAAACAAAACGTCATAATTAGAATCAAGAGGATGTAATCGAGACTTCCAGTTCCAATTCCATTTCCTACCTCTCAGATATTTGTCGTCAATTTTATTAGAGCCTCTTCAAAAGCCAAAAGTACTTAACAACAGTGTAATAAACGCTTCAATGGCTATTTACGGAGTACAATAGAATATCTATTATGTGAACACCCGGTATGCAAACCTTCTATTATATTCCCTATTAAAATATCGTATGTACGTGTATGTACAAACGTTTACATATTTCGTTCGATTATATTAAATTGACACGGTTCGTATAAAAGACAATTTTATTAAAGAAACACGCGAAGTTAATAAGAAACCATAGAAATGTATCATTGCCAATATTTAAAGTTTAAACAAAGAAACGAAAAGTTCTATTAAAAACTATGCTAAAGAAATACAAATAGCAGATACTCGGACAAATCGAGAAACTTTCTAACCTATAATATTACGGTTCGCTACTTTTACTTAAAGTGATACATATCGGTAACTCACTTTTCCCCGTATCCTCGGGCGCATTCTGCTTGGTGGCGACAATCGTGATACTCTTGCTCTCGAAAAAAGGCTTGACACGTTCGCAATCGGTGGACACGAAATCGGTATCGTTCTCTGGATGTTGGGCAGAACGCGTCGATCGAGACGACACGAGATCAAAGTAGCCGCATAATAGTATCAGAATTGACACAGGTGCCAGGATCGCGTGTCGATGCCTCTGTATTATTTTCATTTTGAGCAACTAGCTGGCGACACGCGGGAACGGGGCCAGAAATCGACAGTAAAGAGAGTCGAACGACGATGGATGACCGGTAAGTTTCGTAAATCGTGATTGTGGGAGACGAGCAAACACGAGCACAAACACGAACACGTAACACGAACACGATCACGATCACGATCACGATCACGATCACGAACACGAACACTAACACGAACACGGGCTGCGAGACGACTCAATTTCTCTGCCTCCTTCTTCTTCTTCTTCTTCTTCTTCTTCTTCTTCGGTCGCGTATTCGGCACAATCGTTCCAAGAGTCATCAACCGCGGGTCGAGAGACGCGGCTTCCTCTTTCTTTTGTCGTTCAACGAATCGCTCGCACTGCGAAACGTCACAGGGATGTTACTTGGAGTTGGAGCAGATCTCGAGACGTGCATTTGGTGCGATCACGATGGACGGACGGACGAAACGACGGCTACGAGTAATCGCGATATGCACCGTCCAGAGACCGCGCAACACCGTCTTATGGTCCGCACACATGCACACCCGACCACTTCGAGTACACCACAATAATAACCACACACATGCACGGCACGTCTGACCGCACGCAAGCAAGCATGCATGCATGCACTACGCGACGCGCGTTCCACGAGTAGCTCGATGCGACTGAAGCAAGTACCGAGACCGGCACAGTACACTCGCAATTCGACCGACCGACACTCTCCCCTCTCCAACTTCACTCCCTATGATTCGTTCGCTACCCTATATCCCCTCCCAATCCACGCTAATCTACCGCTCAGCGCTCACCTAGTTCCTCGTTTACTCACGTTTACTTACCTGCCGCGACCGCGACACAGGCGATACTGCTCGTTGATCCTATGTGCTCCTATCATGTCCTTCGAGGACCTTGTATGCCGCCATTTGTCTTCGCCTTTTCCACCTTTATTTCCATTTATTCTCACTTAAAACAACTGAAAATTATTCCCTACGTTGTTGTGTAATATCTCAGTCTGATGCATTTACTCGACACAGACTCTATACACTAACCTAACAAACCAATACAAGATAAATATGTTGACGGTAATCCCAGCCTTCGTTGATGCCGTTGCAAACCAGGGAACTGCCTGCAGGTGAGTTATGGTATAGAAAATAACGAAAAGGTATTTTAGAAATAAAATAATTTATTTATTGTACCCAGTTGCACTACTGTAAAGGCCATTTTATAAACGCGTCGAGTCAATTTTTTTCATAATAAAAGTACAAAAAATATGTATAAAAATAGTTACGAATATATAAAAGTACATTATCTGTAGAATAATTATATAAATATAATTTGCGTTCTTCGTTGATTCACTTGCCATACGTTCAGTGCCTCGTATTCTTCGATGCAATCGTTAATTTGGTCGGGTTTAAATCCTTTACTTGTACATCGTTCCAGAATATCTGATACTTTAACAGTTTTCTTCTCACCCGCCAACTCTCGAATAAGATGGAAGATTCGATTCATTGGATTCTGGTTTACGTTTGTTATCAACGTTTCGGAATAGTTGATAGAATGTTTAGACATCTCGATTAATCTATTCGCCTCGTCGATGTCTGGTTTTTCGACGACGTTTACTAATCTTAGACGGGCCAATGCAGTCGATAAACGTAGCAATGCTAGTAAATTACGAGCGGATGTAAAAGTTCTATCGTGACTATTACGGGTTGTCCTTCTCATTTCTACGTAAGATTCTAAAAATAACAATTATATAAAATTATTACAAATAATGTTATTACTTGAGCATCGATTCATTTTTTTCTTTAATTCGATCCAATTCCTTACCAACTATGTGATCTGTTAATTCTTCAGGAATTACAGGTTGTTTCGTTTTACATAAAATAATATACTTTCTAATTAAATTCATATCCAAGGCTTGCGATTCCATAGGAGGTTGTATACCGTGTTGATGAACGTAAGTTATATGTTTTGCCAATCTAGAGAAATATGTTTCTTTCATCACCGTTTTTTCATAAATATTTAGATACAACTACACATGTAAATACTAACTTTAAATCGTTACTACGATCTGCTCGATCCTGAATCAACCATAATAAATCGAATCGCGACAATAAAGCAGCAGGTAACTGAATATTTTGTTCAACTGTTCTCTTTGGATTGTATCTACCATAAGCAGGATTTGCAGCAGCTAATATCGAGACTCTTGCATTCAAGCGAGTTGTAATTCCTGCTTTAGCAATCGATATTGTTTGTTGTTCCATCACTTCGTGAATAGCCGTTCTATCCGCATCTGCCATCTTATCGAATTCATCGATACAACAAACACCTTGATCTGCTAATACTAAAGCTCCTCCTTCGAGCATCATTTGACCGGTTAGAGGATCTTTCATAACGGAAGCGGTTAAACCAACTCCGGAAGATCCTCTTCCAGTTGTGTATTGAGATCGAGGAGCCAACCTTGTTATAAACGAAAGTAACTGCGACTTGGCTACTCCTGGATCACCCATCAAACAAATATTGATATTACCTATAAGTAATAGAAATATTTACATAAAAATAAGGAAAATTATATAAACATATTTTTGTAATTAGAAATATGTCAAACATTCACCTCTAATTTTAATATCCTCCCTATGCTTATCTGTTCCACCAACAAGAAGTAATAACAGAGCTTTTTTAACATCTTCGAGTCCATAAATTTCTGGAGCTATAGAACTAGCCAATTTCCCGTAAAAATCATCCTGACTTAACAAAGACAATTCCTCGTCTGTCAACATGGCGTTGCTATCATCGATGGTTTGCGAATTAGTGAGGCAAACAATTTGCTAAATCGTATAAAATACACACACACGCACATACAATTATGATGTATACTATCAAATATAAACAAAAATACTGCTAAAATTATCAACTCATACGTGGGCATCTATATATGTTTCATTCAAAAGAGCTGCACCAAGCCGAGCAGTGAAACCAGATTTTACGATAGGCAGAAAGATACCCGTAATAAGTACATGATCTCCTGGTAAACATTTTCTTGTCTTTTCACCCCTGCAATACACTGTTAAACTTCTTGGAATATGACCCACGGGAACTTGGTCGCTCTGAAATAATTGCCGTAATTGTTATTGACATAATCATTATTATAATTATAATTACCGAATGAAATAATCATTAATTATTATATATCATTTACGTGTTCTTGTATTTTTATTTCTTGAAATTTTACAAATTTTGATCCTCTTGTTTGCATATCTAATACACCACCAGATTTATTTATACGGCAATCGTCGCTCGGACACATTCGCAGTGGCATATACTTTAAAGATTGTACCTAAAAACCCTAATTATAATAATCTTTCGTTTATTACTGTTAATATAGATGTTATTTTCTCACTGGTTGAAATGTTTCGGCACCGCATTGATCACACGTGTACGTAGCGACGACAAGCAAGGGCATTACGTCGCTACATTTTGTTACTATACCTCGTACTGTAACCAACTTTCCTATTTTATCTGCTTTTATATCTCGCACAGAATATTCCTTTGATGCATCAAAGTTCTTAAAGTATACTTCGCTAAAATGTACATGGAATTCTTAGTATGCGTGTAGGCATGTATGCATGAAGATGAAATAGAAATAAAATATTAAAAGTACAAGCGTCTCATAAGTTCTGGAGCGTATTTATTCCTTGGATTATGTTGATCGTGTCTATTACGACTTTCCATCAACAATCTGTGTTCGATATATATATCCAAAGCATCTTTTGGAGGAACAGGTCTTTCTTTAAGATCGGGCAACATCTCTTGAATAAGCTACAAGCATTTTATGATAAATACAAATTTATTTCTACTTTATATAATCGACTTGTATGTGAAAATATAATATAACAAATATGTACTCACATCTAAAAGTAAATTAACATATCTTCGAGTGTTATTTGCAATCGATTCTGCTAATTCGTCGTCAAATTGATGAACATCGTCTAATTCTATTGTGAGATCTACTTGTTCACGATGAGCTATATCGACGAGTTGCTTTCTATATTTTAACATTTTTTCACCAGTATCATCGTCTATTACCACAAACTCCGTCAAAAATGTCTTAAATAGTTCTAATACGAGATATAAACATTAAACGATACATTAAAAATGTATAAATCTTAATATAAACATCAGTGGTTAATAACCATTGTAATGTATAGTAAATCTCACCTCTAGCTTTTGTATAATCTTTCGATATCTTTTGTGCCATTTTTTACCAATTTATTTTCACAACTATTCTAAACTTTAATTTAGACGGTCAATCTTTTTGAATAAATCGAAATACTATAACTCAACATCAGTCGTAACCGTTATGCCGTTATACATACTCTGAGATTATTCTACTATATTCTTCCCGCCTAAACTGGCCTAAGCTAAATCGCAAAGTACCGTGGTAGTAATTGTAATTAGACCTGGCATAATACAACGTATCTACCATGCTACCAACAGGCCATCTATTGGAGAATTCGAAACAACAAATACATGTGAATGCATATTGCATAAAATTGTATAAAATATTATTATTCTGTGGCTCTGTAAGGAGAGAACACCATATATTAATTTTGCTTATGACGCTAATAATCTTTCAGTCGTGGTCAGGTCAATTCTTGATTGATCTTGAAAGTTAGAGTAGTTTTACTCTACTCACTCTGTGGTGCCTACATACTCTGTGGTTTTGCTATCAATCACGTCATTTTATTTACAGAATTTCTCGTTATACAGAGTATAATATTCTTATTGTTAGTTTATTTTTATTTAAAATAAAATTTGTAAACACATATTTTATTAACATTAGTTACATAAGTTAGTTTATGTTTATGATTATTTTCAAATGTATTCGATCACGTGGTTGGTTAAATAGGTTATACATATTCGAACGAAGAATCAAGTCCAATCAAGTCTGTCATGTGTTTCGATTAATGTTGCAAATAATATAAAAATTAGGAAATGGGAAAAGCGAAAAAACTAAAAGTTTCCAAAGGGGAAACGAAACAATCAAAAGTTACTTTGTTAGATCAAATAGAAGATGAAAAAACAGTGAAATCAAGAAATAGAAATAAGACCAGAGTTCGCAATGATGAAGATGAAGAGGTTATATTTACAGTCTTTATGCGATAATTTTATTAGCTTAAATTCAGCTACTAATTTCGTTTTTTAAGCATAATGTTTTGTTTAAAATTGTATAGTTTGTGGATTCTTCTCTTTCAAAGAAGATTTTGTCTCAAGCTAGACAACAACAAATGGAAATTGAGGAGGAAACTGGATTGATACAAACAGGATCTACAAAGAAGCCGATAGTAAAACTTTCCACTGAATTTAGTGATACAGAGGAACAATCAAGCGAAGATGAACTGGATAATTCACAATATTATGAAAATATTGAAATAAATGAAGAAGATGAACGAGCTATACAAATGTTTATGTCTAAGGATGCAGCTCCCATAAAGACATTAGCCGACATAATATTAGAAAAGTTAACAGAGAAAAAAACAGAAATTGAAACTCAATTTTCAGATGCAGGTTCTATGCAAATGCAAGAATTAGATCCAAGAGTTAAAGCAATGTATGAAGGTGTCAGAGATGTTTTAACAAAGTATCGCAGTGGAAAATTACCAAAAGCATTTAAAATTATTCCTAGTTTAAAAAATTGGGAACAAATATTGTACATTACAGAGCCGCAAAGATGGTCAGCTGCAACAATGTATCAAGCTACTCGAATATTTGCTTCTAATCTTAAAGAGAAAATGGCACAAAGATTTTATAACTTGGTACTATTACCCCGTATTAGAGATGACTTGGCAGAATATAAAAGATTAAACTTTCATTTATATCAAGCACTACGAAAAGCATTATTTAAACCTGCTGGTTTTATGAAAGGAATTTTACTTCCTTTACTAGAATCTGGAACTTGTACATTAAGGGAAGCTGTTATTATTGGATCTGTGATTGCCAAGAATTCAATACCAATTTTACATTCTTCAGCGGCAATATTGAAAATTGCAGAAATGGATTATACAGGTGCTAATAGTATTTTTCTTAGAATATTTTTAGATAAAAAATATGCACTTCCATACAGGGTCATAGACGGTGTTGTATTCCATTTTTTAAGGTAAAATTGTATTTAATATAAATTACACATAACATTTTTTAATTATCATCGGATTTTGAAGATAACATTTACTTATAGATTCGAAAGAGATCCCAGAGAATTGCCAGTTTTATGGCATCAAGCATTATTAACTTTTGTGCAACGTTACAAAAGCGATATTAGTTCTGAACAAAAGGAGGCTTTATTAGGATTATTAAAGAAGCAATGTCATCCTTCGATTACTTCTGAAATACGAAGGGAATTGCAGCATGCAAAATGTAGAGACCTAGAAATCACAGAACCTAGACCAGAACCAATGGCTTGTTGAAATAAAAATTCCGATACTCTTTGCCACGAATATATAATATTTAATCACTTTTCTGATTCTTGATTATTATAAATTATAAAATTATTTAAAACTAAAAATTGACACATTTTCTTTAAGTATTTGCATATCTTCTTGCAATATATTTTATATATATATACAGAATTTAAATATAATTATTAATTATTTAAAATAAACTGCATTTCTGCATTTTAATGTAGAGAGACATTGTAATATAAAAATATCTACCAATAAAGTATAAAAAAAATGATTTCTCTATTATTTAAACAACTATTTGACAAGTGGTTCTACATACGTTTACATATTATTTTTGCATCTATTTCTACAATGACGATGGTGAAAATCATACTTTTATAAATCATATATATACATTACAATACTCCAAATCTTTAAAGTTTGCAGTGCTGTAACATTCTACAACCATTTAAACTTTATTTTTTTTTGAAAAAAGTTGAAATATTTTTGGATCCAGCTGCTGCTTTTTGCCTGGCTAATTCCTTTTTACCAATAGTTGCTTTTTGAGGCTATGTAACAAAATATAAAAAATACATACATATAAGGATATATTTAAGCATATATGAAGAATATTACCTTTTCTGATTTTGTCAAATCAGGAACTTTTGGTTTTAATATTGATTCATTTTCAGTTGTATCTTTCTTAGACCTTTTTTCACCAACAGCATCCTTAGGACTATGTAATTTTCGTTTCTTAGTTTCTGTTTCATCTGGTATATTTAAATGTTGTGCTAACTTTTTAGATAGATCTTCTGAAAGGTATTCTGATACTATACCATGAGCATACTTTAAATATTCTGTAAAAAACCAAATCAAATATATATTGTCTTCAATTTTGAATATAAATTAAAATAAATAAGATAAATTCATTCTTACCCACTTCCGATGCATTCTCAAGCTTAGTACTTTTAATGTAAGAAGCGCTAATAGCACCCTGTGATACATGAATACCCTTCTGCTTTAATACATCGGATACTCTTTCTACTTTTTTTTGTAACCAGATCAATGCCTTTTCTTCGTTAAATTTATAAGCTTGCAACGATTCGTCTCCTTTACGGTCAGCTATTAATGTTAATTTTAAACTCTGACATTGGGCAAGACGAGATGTTTCTGGAAAATCTTCATCCCAAAGACATTGGTCTAACGGTTGTGCTTGTTGAGACTACAAGTGCAATATTTAATTACGTTAAATTAACAGAAATTGAAACTGTAGCATAATAGAAGAATAATCTATCGCAACGTTACCTTTCTTAAGTAAGGTAGTACTAAAAATATTGGATCGATAGGAGTAGACAAATGCATTTTTCCATCAGACTTCACATTGTCATCTATAAACCACGATCTTTTATTCTCATCAAATGTTAAAACTTCTTGTACAGTTAGGTTTCCAGGACTAAACACAAACATAGCAGGCTGATTCGAAGCTGGGTGTCTTAATTTAATTACATCGGGTATTCCTCCATGTGTACTATCTAAGCCATCACCTGAAACACACAGAACATTAAAAAAATATATATCTTAAAAAGACAATCTAACAAACAACGTAAAAAACCAAGGATTATTCGTAAGTGTAAAAGGATTCATAAAAAATACCGGCAAATCTTTAATCACCACACGAATATATTAGACAAATTTTGAACATAGGAAATTCTTTTTACGCATTTATTCACCTTTCATAAGAAAAACCCACGTATTTGTACCTGGATACGAATTAGTTGTTTTGACGCACTTTTTTGGTGATGCTTTGGTACGCGGCATATTTACGCGCGTTTTACACGATCGATATCACGTTAGGTTATTTACACCTCTCACACAATTTTCACCATGTATTAATACATATACATAAAACAAATTTAGCGATCAGCCATTTTTGGTAAAAGGACCAACTCTTAATTTTGTATTGCTCGTTATTCGGAATATACTGCACCACTGCGTATCTATTTCGGTAAAAGAATACGTTAAACACGACATGCCGCCAGCGTTGTGGAGGATAACATTTGAAATCTCGATGTGTGGTCGAACGTCAGTGAATGGTCGATGATCGGAGAACCGGGCCGTGAAGAGGCGTTGCCGCGCTACAAGCCATCTTTTCAAAAAGAGAACTCCAGCAAAATCGTACTCTAGCGTGAAAGATTTAAACTACAACGCATATTATATTGTATTTCTATCGATAAAAACACATTGAATTTTTATTAACTGATCTATACGACAAACATAATTATTCCCATACGTAATGAAAATCTTTGTGCAATTGTGATATATTCTAATTCAAAACCACGTTTTAAAATATTTTTTTATAAATAATGCTCGTCCATTTTTATACGAATATTTTTAACCATTTTTATTTAAATAATTTTACTTGAACTTTTACACTCATCTTATTGAATATCTATTTTAACTTAATGAAAAGATGAAAAATATTAAAATTGTATAAATCAAACATTACAAAGTAAACATCAGAGTATTAAATCATCGACTTTATTAAATTGGATAACGTTCTTTATATGACTTTTCGAAAATTGATTAGTTTATCACTATCAAATGAGAATTATTAATATGTGCAAATGTTTTATAAAAAAAAGTTTCAAAAATTAGGCAAAAGAAATATCCTTTTAAAAGTAGGTCTCAGATGAGTACTACACAAACTTAAATATTAATATTTATGTACTATTCTAAACTCTAAATATAAAGTATCAATTTCGAATTTAAAAATACAAGTTTAACTAATCGGTAAACTACTACACCGCATTCTAGTACGAGGAAACGAACGGAAGAATAGTATTCTTCGAATTTTTAATTTGTAGGAATGACTAAGTGGGTATACGTATACATATAATATACTATATCTGTATATCTGTACTGTATGTTACACGATTATGTTGTCATTGGTAGCATTGTGACCTTTTTCTTCTGACTGATTACTCACTCCTTCGTTAGTACGTAGTAGGTACCTTGAAAGAGCTACGGATGACGTGATGCGAAAGTGGGTGTGCCCAAGTATCACTATTGACTGGCCGGCTTTCGTACGTGTAGGATCTATCTACGTACTTCTACTTATCGAAAACAATTCAACTGTCAAATTTTCTTAAATACATCCATTGTAAGTACATTTCTTATGCAAATGATTGTGTCAAAAAAAAGTTTACACAAAACTTGTAGCATCGCATAATGAATTCGCATATTTACCGGCAGCCTTTATTAAATGATCGATTAATTAATCAGTATTTCTATTAGTTCTAGGTTGTATCTCGCAGAAACAAAAATGTCACAACAACAATACTATCCGTTTAAAGTAAGTACACTCTTAACGTTACTATTTCGGATTTTATTATTATTTTTTTATACGAGTAAGATTAAATTGATCTATTTTTGACTCGGGTATCGATCAGCTGTATTTTTAACGTCGGTTGCTACGTCTAAACAAATCAATCTATGTACATCCGCGTACTTTGAAGGAAAAATATTATTTGATTGTACATATTTATCACGATACGGTTACAATGTGATTATAATTACATCATTTTTTTTTATTAACAACGAAAATTTTTCCAGTATACTTATCGAATTATAATATGTTAAAATTTCGATATATTGCAATAGCCTACAATCCATGAGCAGCAAAGTCAAGCGGTAACTCGTGATTTCATATCAACTGACCCATGAACTGCTTGTCAGTATTTCTCTTATAATAAAAAACAAAAACAAAAAGAAAACAATAAAAAGCACCAAATAAATGAAGGTGATAACCTGCTAGAAATCTATACATATTTCAAATATAATCCAGTCATTTTATTTTAAAGAATTATACAATATTAATTATGTTTTTGAATACTTTTGTATAATTATTTTAAGCAATTTGGTTGACATGAAATAAAATAAACTAGGTGTTTTTAGTAGTTGGCAATTAAGTTGTTTTGGTTTTTATACTATTGAATCACAGTCTTGTCTACCTCCTCCAAAGGAACAAACAATTAAATAATCTTACATTTGTTAACTAATATATTTAAATGAATAATTATTTCAATTCACTGAAAATCTCATATAAATTATACATCTTGTATCTTAGTGTACTCCTACGGTATATCCTGCAGAACCATTTGATGCAAATGCAGATGCTTCGCTGCTACGTAAAGCAATGAAAGGTTTTGGCACAGATGAAAAAACAATTATTGATGTCCTTACAAAAAGAGGAATCGTCCAGCGACTGGAAATTGCTGAAGCATATAAAACATTGTATGGAAAAGATCTAGTTAGTGATCTAAAGAGTGAACTTACAGGGAAATTAGAAGATGTTATAATTGCTCTTATGACACCATTACCTCACTATTATGCTAAAGAATTGCACGATGCAGTTAGCGGATTGGGGACTGATGAAGAAGCAATTGTAGAAATCCTGTGTACTTTAAGTAATTATGGCATACGTACAATTGCTGCATTTTATGAAAACTGTAAGTCCATCGATTAGCAGTTTTTCTACAGACATAACCTTACCAACTGTTAGAATAGATTATTTTTACATGTTTACATTAATCTGATAAAGTTCATTTTGTGTATAATAGTGTATGGGAAAACTCTTGAAAGTGATTTGAAAGGAGATACTTCAGGACATTTCAAGAGATTGTTGGTTTCGCTTGTTCAAGCAAATAGGGACGAGAATCAAAGTATAGATCATGCTGAGGCTGCAGCAGATGCGCAAGCACTTTACGATGTTGGTATGTATGTGTTTATATATAATAGTTAAAGTTTGCATATAAGTTGTACGTATCTATATCATTTTAAAAATTATTTATTTTACTCTAGGCGAAAAACAGTGGGGAACAGATGAATCTCAATTCAATGCTATTTTAGTAACGCGTAGTTATCAACAGTTAAGACAGACTTTCATTGAATATGAAAAAATATCCGGACATGATATTGAAGTTGCTATTAAAAAAGAGTTCTCTGGAAATCTTGAAAAAGGTCTTCTTGGAATAGGTAATTAGTTTCTTTCTAGTAACATGCAATTTAGTGAAATTATTTTTTTTTTTTTCTAAGAATTTTATTTTACAATTAAATATATCGATATGTATATTATATGTTTTGTATCACAGTAAAGTGTGTGAAATCAAAAGTTGGTTTCTTTGCTGAACGATTATATGCTAGTATGCATGGCATAGGCACAAAAGACCGAACGTTGATTCGCATTATTGTTTCTCGATGTGAAATTGATCTAGGTGATATAAAAAAAGCTTTTGAAGAACGATATGGAAAATCACTGGAAAGCTGGATTGCTGTATGTATTTCTGGAATTTTCAATACGCTGTATTTAGTATTTAACGTACATCTTACCTTGTAAACTACCGCGTTGCGTGTACTTTTTTTTTTACATGTACATTAAATCATGAAAATTTGTTTAATTTCAGGGTGACACATCTGGAGATTACAAGAAAGCCCTTCTGTCACTTGTTTCTACATAATTTTGAACGAAATATTGTATAAGAAATTTAAAACTTTGAACAAGTTTTAATGTACAATTTTATGAAAAGTGTTTCGTTCAAATTACAGAAAAACACGCTTCAAGCGCTTACATCAAGTGGCATAAACGAATCTGTATTATAGTGAATCTTTTTACACAATTTTTGAATCTCTACAGCACTGTAACTGTGCTACGATCTGTTTTTTTTTTCTAATAAATTAAAATTTATACATAATGAAATATTTTACAAAATCACACTGTTATATATCTTTTCTTTTTACTATAAATTTATATATTTTACAATGAAAAGCTTATATTTATATAAATTGTTATAAAATCTATATGAAAATAAAAATATTATTTACAATACCTTGTTGCATGTATCGTAAAATTGATTTACATTTACATTTAAATTAATCATTTAATACCTCTTTCTTTTTATTTCTTAAACTTCTGCGCACAGTGCCTTAAAAAAAATTGGTAGGAATAATTAAAAATAAATATGATTAAAACTATATGTATTTGCAATTAGAAATAGTAGGTGATGTTCAATACCTGTGTTGGATTCTTTTATTTTTGTGGGTTTTCTGTTTTTTAAAAACGGTTTACTGAGTTTTGGATGAAACATAGCTGGCATTCTCTCAAAATGTTTAACCATTGGTGTCGGTACTATCTTATCCAGTGGAATCCAAGGAGAATTATGTAAAGTATGGTACTGTTCATCATAAACTGTGTGTATATCAAAAATATTTTTCCTGCAAAAATGATACATATACTCAAAAATAAAATTAATATCTACTTTGAGTAGAGAGAATTAAATTAAATATGTTTTAAACTATTTACCCCGGACTTTCTACTTCTTTATAAACAGTTGCAAATGAACCATTTCTTACTGTGTGTCTCATAACATAACGGCCTGGAGATAGGTTCGCGAGAGATTGAACAACATTATGTAAAATTGTCAAAGAATCTTCAACTTTTATATTATAAAGCCGTTTGATTTCATTACTTATCGACATCGCAGTGCGATGTTCCACTTGTAATATTTCCGATGTTTCTGCATTTATCCGAACTAAAATAGAACATGATTTATATACAGTGAAATTAATGTTTCAGATTAATATTTAAATTAATTAAGATTATTATTATATGCTTATACATAGATATTTCTAAACATTGCCAAAAGTACTAATAATTTATGATTTACGTATTATAATCTCGTAGGATTCGAATTTACCTCGTGCGAGAAATGTGAAAGGTCTAAATACCAGAGATATCCATTGTTTCAATGATTCTTCTAATGTTACAGCTTCGGCACCAAGATCAACTTGATGTTCTAGTTTTGGCGCCAATAGTAACAATTTTTGTACATTATTTTCTAAAGTCTATAATTAAACATAATTTGGCTATTATTTTTATACTGTAAATACTTTTTGTACTATTTTATGACGGATGTGTTAACATATACAAACCACAAATCCATCTGTTTTGGTTCTCACCAACATTTTGTATTCTTTGATAACATTTTTCATTAATTCATTTTGTTCAGAGGACTGTGGCCCTATAGAAAACAATTTGTACGATACATTTTCTTTCGTGTTTACTTGTTGTTTTAAATTGCTTTCAATACTTTTGGTTTCTCCTACTACATTTAAGTGTGTCTCTGTGTTTATACCACATGAAGTGTTTTCATATTCATCTTCGAGTCTCAAGATTACTTCAGAATTAACTTCACCAAATATATTATCGTAGTACGCTTCGGTGCTGTCATTATATATTTAAAAATATCAATTATAGTGTTATTAAATAAAAAGTTTAATGAAAAAAGTTTTCATACTAAATAGTTTTTTGTCTTACTTTTCCGAAATAGGATGTTCGACATTAATAAGGAAATATTTAAGAATGTATTTATATACCCAATTATTTTTATGCGGTACAGTGTTTGCACTTGGTGGTGCTGGTTTATCTATATAGATAACATTTTTATCATTATGCCTTTTTATAACTATAGGTAAAATCCAGGAATTCGAAGAACTTGGTCCAATGTTATTTACTAAACAATTAAGACCACTGGATGAAATCACTAAATCCACATTATTATTTTCAGCCAATTCTTGACAATTTGTATCTTCACTTACTGGTAATTTAGAACAAATTGGCGATTCCTTGGAAACATAGGTTTTAGGAGGAAACCTTTCTTGTAACTGTTCAGAACTTATGCATAGCATATACGAACTGTGAAAGGTTGGTAGTACTATGTTTGGTAAATGACCCTTAATAATACAAAATTCTTATTAACATAAACAAGCATACAAAGTTGTTTAGTAGAAAAGTTAAGTAACCACAATAGTTTTATGTGAAAAAATGTCTCACCCTTTGCAAACAGTCAGAAATAAATTTTACATCAATGTTTTTATCTGCTACAAATGGTACATTTGTAACTTCAGCATAATACCTAGGAATGTTACGAATGTACTGTAACTTTGATCTCCAATGTAAATTAATGTAATCTTCGCATGTGATTTTCAATAATCTTTCATGCCACTTGCTTTTAGCAAATTCTAAAAATTCATCTTGCTCTTGAGATATTATACTTTGTAAACTCTATAAGAAATCAATTATATAAAATTCTACAAGTAATGCATATTAACCATTGTTAATGCTTAAAGAAGAAACTGTCTTTTATATCCAGATATTAAAGGATACATAGCATCAAATACAACTAAAAAATTCTTAATAGCAGTAAGTTTTGTTTACCATATAAGTCTGTAATTCTTCTCTATCTGGTTGAGTTAATTTCGGCTTATCGGATTCTGAAAATCTTAACAACACTCTTAAACACAATGCTTGCTGTTCTTTATTTAAGTTAGATGGCCTAGGAAACTGAAACTTTGATTTAACAATACAAGGTACATAACGCGAACGCTTAATGTTATTCGATTGTTTTAACCTATTTTTTTTGTCCATGTCAATAGCTTCAATACTATCATCTAAACCTTGTTCATCAGACTCAGGTTCTATGTCGCTCATTAAATCAGTTTTAATTTCTTTATATTCATCTATAATATCATTAAATGGATCATTGAAATTCCCATTCAAAATTTTATGCATAACACTCTCCTGTTGAAATCTTTCTATGTTGATGAAAGTATTATCTATCATATCTTCTAATGGAGGATTCCTTATAAAGAAACAAAATGATTAACGTTAATATTGTTATACGCTAGAAGAAGATGATCTGTAATTATTCCATAGAATAATAGTGTTTCTATTGTCTAAATTGGAAAGTTGCTTAATATCTACTTACCAATCAATGTTTAAGAATCTATCCATGATTTATAAAATAGAAATGCTTTTGACTTATAATATGTTTAATTTCCTTTCATGCAGTCGATGGGTGCATTCAGATAGGGCTACCGAAACTAAAATCCACTAGCCGGTCACGCTACGACGTATTTTTTAGTAGATTCTTGTTTGCCCGCCATTATTCGTACTTATATAATAGCGTTAGGTTGGTACACGTGTGGAAAAATAGGAGGCAATCGGGATTCGTAAGTTGTAAAGATCCTACAATTAATCAAATTATTCTTGTTCGCTATTAAACATAATGGCAAAGTTTTGTTAATACAATAGAAAGTAATCAGTGTACAAGTTCGAGAATACGAAAGTAAGAAAAGTGTGCGACATTTATGCCAACATGAAACGTGGAATATTCACCGGGATCGGGATTCGGGATGAAGCAGAGTCTACTCTACTCTACACAGGTACATATCATTTTAAAAAGAATAACCATTTTCACATTTTAATATTTACTTTATTTAAAATTTATTATAACGTTCATGTTGTTGATTTTGATATCTATCGGGATATTTGGGATATTCGGGGTTTTTCGAGATTTGGAAAGGTTGCGTAAGGTGTCGAGGTAGTTGTATTTTTGAGAAAAATTTATTCTTGTATATATTCTACTACTTGGCTAAAGTATTTAGTTGCATTTGTTCTCGCAGTGTTGCTACTTTTCAACGCCTATCCGAAGGGGATACAAGAATAGAGATACAAAAACGGGATAGACAAATATTTGCGCGTTTTCTGTCCGGCATGTTTACCGGCTGACAATGCGTTGAAAATAGTTTCCGAAATGACCGACCTTAAATATAGAGTGCGCTGTAGAAATGTATTTAATTTTTTTACCGACACATGGTATTTTATCATGTATCGTACTATACATTTTTTTGTTATCTACCTACGGTTTTGTTCGACAATTGGTAATAAAATACTTTGTCGGTCTAATCATTTTCTGCTACGATTTTAATAATTACCTGTGTGGTCACATTCTTGTTATAAATATATTTCCTAACTCACAAAAGTATAATAATTTTATTAGACTAGACTTTTTTGATCCATTGATTGTGTACGACCATACATTATCCAAGAGCCGAAAATACAAGAAACACGCGTTTAACTAGTTGAGGGTATTACTATTAAACAATTACTATTGAATATTTGATGGGCATACCGTTGTAAGAGGATTATACATAAAAGATACATTAGAAAGGTTTAGATAGGCGATCCAAAGGCAACTGGTCGAAGAAAAAGCCTTTCGAAAAAGAAAAGGAGAAGAAATAAAAGTACGCGATACACGTTATAGTATAGTATATGTATATTAAATAGCGATAAGACAGGTAGAGAGACTAACGGCGCGGATAGTTTGGCGCTTGAAGTAACGCGTAAATCGAGGGACCGGTGTACACGAGAGAGGGAGAGCCTACCGTTCTTCGAATTGACTAAATTAGAATTTTCCATAAGCTGATTGACGTATGAAAGAATGGTAAGCCAGGGAATGGATAGGGATAGGAGGTCCGGAGAGAGGCCGGATAATAGTTAATAGCTAGGAAGACGACTCGGACTGGTAGCGTTGCTTCCGCCACTGACAGCGCCTCCCTGCTCCCCACCGATTATAGTGGCAATATGTTTATACTGGACTGATAATGAATTCATGGTGTGCATAGGGCAACCTACTTGTGAACAGGTTGCATCAGCATTACAGATCCGATCGCGCAGATGCTCTTTTGTCGGTAGATGAGTGAGAGCCCTGGGGATGGCGGTGGATGATATCAGATCTATGGGGGTCGAAGTAAAAATCAAGGGAATCGGAGGATTCCCGTGCGCCTATGTATACGAGCTATCCATGTATATGCAATTTGTGTAACTACGCTCACAATCAGCCGAGCGTAGATGTGTGGTGTGCAGTGCGCAACCAGGGGA